TGATGAGAATACATAGGTGTCAGAATTTGAATGGCTCTTACTTTTCTACTTCTGTGTGCACCAATAGTTATATTTTGTAGTTGTTTGCATGATATGGGGAAAAATCTTTATGCGGTTATGTCATTTCTTACTTCCCTTCTCACTTAATATGATCTTGTTTCAGCAGCTGCATGCGATAATTTTGCACATTTTGTTTCTATTTGATTCATTTTACTAACAAGTAAGGCCCATCGTAATGGAAATGATTGTATATTAAGAACAGCAAAACCCGTGCACCTTCAATGCCAGTAACCTGTGTGTTAACATTATTAATAATGTTTTGGTTTCGCATGCGTCTGATATTCCAGATTTTCACATACATTTCCCTCCATGTATAACATGTACACAGACAATACTTGTGATTCATTTGAAGTGCTGTATATTCTTTATGGCTTTTGTGTACAACTGGTTTCTAATAATATATTTCCCCTTCATAGACATTATTTTTTACTTATTTTCTTCTGTTATACGTAATAGGTTAAACTGTAACAGGCGTGACTCGTTTGCAGAATGCTGTATTACCCAAGTTTCGCGTGCCCAAGCTTAAACGCAATATTTCTTTCCGCGTACTAACTGCTGTTTTGTAGTTTTATCTCGGTGAATAGTCAACACTGTGTATAGGTTTTCTTAGAGAATATTAACAGTTTTATATGACTATCTTAGTGAATATTAAACAGGTTTATAGTTTTGTCTTAGTGAATATTAACACAGTTTTATAGTGTTGTCTTGGTGAATATTAACACAGTTTTATAGTGTTGTCTTGGTGAATATTAAACAGATTTATAGTGTTGTCTTGGTGAATATTAAACAGGTTTATAATTATGTCTTAGTGAATATTAATTTTTATAGTGTTGTCATAATGAATATTGACACAGTTTTATAGTTTTGTCTTAGTGAATATTAATACAGTTTTATAGTGTTGTCTTAGGGAATATTAATACAGTTTTATAGTGTTGTCTTAGTGAATATTATCACAGTTTTATAGTGTTGTCTTAGTGAATATTAACACAGTTTTATAGTGTTGTCTTGGTGAATATTAAACAGGTTTATAATTATGTCTTAGTGAATATTAATTTTTATAGTGTTGTCATAATGAATATTAACACATTTTTATAGTTTTGTCGTAGTGAATATTAACTTAGACTATTCCATGACTCTCAATATACCTCACAAACCGGAATTTGGAAAACGTGATTTTATGGTATTGCTACAGTCAAATAGTAAATGAAAGCATTCTACTTTCTTTCAAACCAAATACTGATATCCGGTTTTTTTCGGACATTTTTAAACCCGAAAATATACAAAATGCTTTTATCTATAACTACATGAACTACAGTGAATACTTTCTATTAAATTTCCCGTGTATATATTCCTTTTGTCATTTTGCCCTAGCTTCATCGAAATGAAGTTTGAACTAAGATTCTGTTTGTCGGTATTCTATGAATATAAAACCTGGAAAAGTAAGTGATAAGTTATAACTTTCAAATAATTTTCATCTAAAATTTCCACGTAGAATACACTAAGACATGTAAGGACAAGCTCAGATATCGATTTCACATAATAATTAAGATGTTAGTTATTGTCAAAGCCGGTTGAAAGATATATATGTACGTTGATATTATCATGTGGTGGATGCACGTGAATGTTAAGTATGCCACATTTCATGTATATAAATCAGTGTCTGTTTGGGCGGGAACAGTAACTGTCCGCACGTGGTAGCTATTGTATTATTACACAAGATATACATACATATAGATGGTGTTGTCTTGATATAATGGAACATAAACACTGCGGTGTTCCGGAATCCTGAAGGAAAGCAGCTTCTAATTAGTTCGTACTAACATGATATGTTATTGTTACCTCCACACGCTATTAATAAGTACATGCATGTAACGATCTTTTTACCTATTATTTGCATTTTGATCGCAAACATGAATTTTATGCAAATCGTATACCTTCATTAATTACAAACAATAATATCAATTGAAAAGCGTGCCTTATGGTTTCCATACTAAGCTAGGGTAATGAACTTACCGCAGAAGGAATGGTTGTGTATCTCCGTGGTTTTCAAGGGAAGGATTGTTTGGGTGGCACAGTAGCTTCAGAGAAAGCTAGGATTGTGTCGTAGTTGTTGCAAGGGAGGGGATGGGTGTCCGCGGCAGTGGTTACAGAGAAAAGGGTGGATGTGTGTCGTAGTTCCATAGTAAATCGTGGATGTGTAGGGCATTGGTTACTTGGGGAGTGGTGGACAATTGTTGGGATGGCTCAAGGCAAGGGCTTGTTGGTTGGTACTTTGATTTGTATAGTCTCCTTTTAAGGCAAATATAACTTCGATTGCTCAACTAAATATGAAAAGGATGAAAGGAAAATAAAGTGACCCGCCTTGTTGAATTTCTTTGGGCACGGCACTCCAGTTTCATCTCCTAATAAGACTCCTTGCTCTCCGATTAGGACCAATAATAATGTTAGATATAAGTTTATATCATTTGTTTCACAATTGCTGTTAAAAGGTTACAAAATAGAGGATGGCTTTCTAAACAGAAATGATAATTGTGACCAACAAGACTACACATTTAACTGTATTCCAACCAGATGATCAAGGTAAAACAAAAGAAGTTGTATAAGTGCGCAATTGAAGAGTAACCAAATCGATCCATTGTTGTTTGTGGCCTACACCTAAACATTAACTCTTTGAGGATTTCCAAGATTCGTTCTATAGTATAGCCAGATTGGAAGAAGATGTAGTAAGTCGAGAAAATATATTGGGTATTTTGCAATTAGAATCAATGTAATCTGGGTTTCTGACAACAGCCAGGTATACGATGTGTAAATGGGGATTAGGAATTCTAGATATACGTGTGTTTTTGACATGAACACATGCGGAACATATGGACCACCACATTCCCCGTAAACCTTGAGTAAACAGATAAGGCAACCATGAAATAGTCATATTTTCACACATGCTTTAGCTTCTGGATTTGCCATTAAAATCCGCGGGGCCATGTAATTCGGTCCATTATGTTATGGCTAACAATGCTGCGTTGCTCTTTCATCTCTGTGGAAAAGAGAACATTTTTCAAACACCCTGTCATTTCTGAAAACAAATTACATCTACATACTATTATGTGAATTTTTGTTACTGTTGAATTACGAGACAAAAAATGAATGACACCATAACTTTTAAATTCCGACTGGTGAAACAAATCATGGATCTGTAGTTGTTGAATTCTTCTTGTGTATAAGTATATCACACTACCTAAAGATTTGATGACTGATATAGTCGTCATGGCTAAGTTGATGATGTTCTCCCTTACCTATCAGTCAGTAGAGCCTATGGTATGACCTAATTTAAACGCAAACAACGTTATTAACTTTTGTCATTCTATAGACTGTCATTAATTACTTTGTGCAGAATTGACATATTTCCTTTTTTACACAAGGGAATTGTGTGAAAGGTTCACAAGTGCACAGATACATAGTTAGATAGAGATGAAATACCTAAGTTATGAACAAAATTGATTAAGCTGCGCCATTCTACCAGAACTCTTTAACCAGAACTAATGCTCATGCAGATGCACGCCCGCTGTGCATTTTGGAAAGTGTGGAGACAGAATAAATATGTTGTAGAAAGAAATATCTGAAAGATTATTGTAATATTTAGGGTCATGCTCTTAATCAGGATCTCTCATTTGACAAACTTAAATGACCGCACTTTCACACTGAAATAGATGACATTGTTGCCTGGTACCTAGTTGTTATATTTTCTGTGTTGCTGATAAGGAGACACACAGTTGAGAAAATATATTAAAATATGTAGCCATTTACTAATGGTTGGTTTCTATAGAGAAACTATCAATTAATTCACTCCTTAATGTTTGCTTTCGTCTACACTGTATATACTAACAGGTACTACCTCGTTAAAAGCCATAATGATTTGAAAATCCTCCTTGGTAATGTAAAGAGCTTTATTAACTGAATGAATTCGACAGGAACACATAAGCGACCGTCCGTTCTTTGGTCCATCCGTCCTTGCGTTCAACCTCTTTTCGGGAATTATCGTGGGTTATTGATATTGATGTCTTAGTACTAGATATACATGTTAGTGTTGCTATGAAAAAATGGTATAAACTGGAAGTCCTGTGTAACCTATAAGCATGAGTATAGCGTTTTTGACAGTTTAATAAAACACTTTACAAATGCGGAAGAAAAAATCTCAAACGTATCGGCTGTAATATTCGATGTATTATTTTACTTATGCTCATTTATTTTATACCGTTAACACTTTTAAAAAAAATATCCATACATATTGGTATCAATTAAACATTTTATGAAATTAAATCATGACGTTTTATAAACGTTGAATAACTTTTTATTTTATAATGAGTACGTTTCAGATGTGATGTTGTGAGGATTTTATGTATTTCTGCTATAACTTTTCTGTAACATTCATTTCATGTTTCTAAACGGTGACATTTCAATATTCCAGTCGTCCATGTATGCCCTCGTATCAATCATTCCTTGTTTTAAATTTTTGGCCATTTTTGGATTCCTTCGCACTCCTATTCATTGCAAGGAAGAAGCTAGATGTCATTGATTTATAGACCATTTTAACGCCAAATTCACAACGGAGGTCACGCTCAGAACAAAATTTTGTTTTCTTTTCATTAACATTTTATGTATTGTAGCCAAAAAGTCGCCTTGACCTAGGTACTTAAAGTATGATTATCTAAGCAAGTAATATATTATCTTTGATATGGTCTATTCATAACAAATTCTGGATTTACTTAATCAGCGTAAATCATGGCCTCACTTTGTTTTAGAAACATTAGAGCGAATAAATCGATACACTTGTTTGATTTGACAGACCTTTAAACATCCAGCAGGAGGCTGACTGATGATACAAGAAGAAGAAAAGTCTTATCGGCGTTGTTGAGCTGTAATTTTTGTTTTAATATTTTCAGGAACTGTATTGGACAGAGTTTTGCTATGCACGAGATGAAGACGATCCTTGCAAGGATACTTCGAAGGTGAGGAAATTCATTCAACTTCATGCCTTTTTGTGGCCTGTTGATATTTTTGTGAAAATATTAGGTACCTGATACAGCTATAAAGACTTGAACCTTGGTTAGAAGTTATTTTTAAATACAGCCAAACTTGCTTTGTTAAATACCAGTTATTACATGCCACCTTATACAAAGGTCACCTGTAAATAAAGGTCACGTTTTGGTTCCCTGTTTGATACAATTCATATTAATTTAGTTGCTCCATGAGTGACCTTTACAGACAGTTATGACTGTAACTTGTACGTGAATAATATGTAATAATTCCGTACGTTTTGTAATAATTATTAATAAACTTCTAATTGAAAGATAGAAACGAATGGATAATAAATCTAGCTTATTCTAATAATTATCAAATTTAAGCATTCCTTGTAAAAGAATGATTTCATTAGCGCAATGCATGCCATATTTTATAGACTTAGAAAATATATATAAAAAAAATCACAATATTCAATTTGTAACATTTTTTTTATATATCATGCCTGTAAGTTGACGAATGTACAAATGTTCTGAATATATCATCTGTAGGATCTTGAAATAATATTTGCGATGCTTACTGAACGATCCAACCAGTTGTGTACATACTATACCTGGTAAACATATCCTTTCGATTGTTTGTGTCACACATAGGTCATTTAACTTATGTATGTTAAATGGATTATAGAAATGCAGAAACATTCATGTACAAAACTTGAAATAATAACAGTTTACAAAACTCACTGACCATTGCATCTACCAATTTAGATTCGATCTTGATTTCTCCGTTCCAACCTAGGATTCAAAATTTCATATCGCAGAGAAGTCTTCGAAAGACAAAACAACTGTATGATGCAGATAATAGTCATTATCGGCTCTGCTGTGTCGGATTCTTAATTTGTTTAGAAAGGTGCTATTCACTTACGTGTTTAATTTACTATCGTCTTAAGGCCTTGATTCATTTTCGCGAGTGTTAAAGATACAACGTGGATGATGTATCATTATCGAATTAAGTCACACTATAATTTCATGATTGTTGACTCCTTCATCCTTAGAAGTACACACCAGTCTATCCTGTATGCCACGTTAAACTTTCTTTTAGCATCTCCGTCATATTCATTTTAGATAATTTTCTATATTCATTTTTTCTGCGAGAAGTTATCGTTATTTTTTCGTTGATATTCAGTACTATTGATCTTTTATGGAGCTGATGTTTCGCTAGTGTCTCTGTCATAATTCATTGACGAGAATCTAGTTTCAGGTAAGTCTGTTTCCCATTGACGCATTACTATCATTTAGCACAATAGAAGTATTACATTTAATGCCCGCGAATACAGCGAAAATAGCCGTGCGCATTGATATTATTGTTATGTAGTGTATACCTGGAAATATTGGTTTTACCGATACTGGGGTGACGTCATTGCCTGAAACGTGTATGCTTAAACATATTTTTGAAGTGACATTAGTACCATTTCCTATTACTTGTTAATGAGACAACACAAATCACTCGATGTAAATGAAATACATCTTTTTGATTTTGACTATGGATCAGGGGGTTTTAGAATTTAAGATTTTATTTAAACAACCCTTATTTCAGGACATGTACTGCCGAGTTTTTTCTATTGCATGGGCGTAGATAAGAAAGAAAATGTATGTAAATAACAAAGTATACCAACATCGAGTCAGTCTATGTTAAGACGTCTTGGCGCGAGCCTCTGTAGGTAATGTCTGTAAAATACTATAATCTTTGTCGTCTTCTCGGCATGGAAGGAACAGATGATATACACTCTCTATGTTCAACAGAAATTTATTTGTCTCTTTTTCAAGAGTGTATGAAACCTTATACAAAATCAAAGCCTTTTCTCCCGGTATAAATACTTCTGCTGATGGACCTTTGGTCAATGAAAAGGTCATGGGCACTTATGTTTTATCCGCGTACTTTTCTTAAGTTACGGAAGTAGGTACTATAAAACCAACACTAACATCATCAGATAGCAGCGTTTATCGACTCATTCGCTCTGGTCCGTACACGGTGAGTTATAGGTCCCTCCTCGTAGTCAGATTTACCCTTTGGTCTGGCGGCGATGCCCTTGATAAATGGACGAGAGTTTGTTGTCAAACTTTACACAACATTAGTAGCTGGTCCTCTCAGACTCCTCAGGAATTTGTGAAATGGTTGTTTATAATCCGTTGATGATGATGCTGGAGCCAAGCGTCTGTACTAAGACAGAGGCGGAGACCGATTTGGGCCCCGGGAAGCCACATATATCACAATGATAGAGGGGAACAAGGATTTAGATACACATGATATTTTCTAGTTTTATTGTTTTTAAATCCCTCGATTACAGTAAGAAAACGTTTTTAGTCTCGTGTTTCTCACGTAGAATGGACCCGGCTTTGTTTTTATAGTAAAGAAATCTTTCTTTAGTGTTTATCTATCAAATACCATCAGGACTTAACATTGTTACAACTGCAGTCTCCTTAAATCTATGTTTGGAGTACTTATGTTTTACAATATTCGCTATTCCAAAAATCCTCCTTTGAAAGACAGCAACAGCGTTAACGTCAATCTTCATCATCTTCAGCAGATGCTGATTTTTAATTGATGGTACCGAGGTTGCATTCTGATCTACGATCTCTTCATGTTTTTTAAGAAAATATCTTGAATTTGTAATATATTTATGTAATTATCTACAGCATCGAATTGAAAAAAACGGCGTTGTTCTGTTGTTAAATCTGTCGCATTGACAAAGAAAAACCCAACAAAAAGGGATTTTTTCTACTTGATGTTATAAGCCTACTTTAGTTATAAGATATGTGTATGTTTATTCTCCTCTGTATTGCCAGCCTTACTTTTGATATATTCCACAACACGCTTTTTTCCTGCTTTTGAGTAATTGAAAATCGAAATTGATCAACCTAAACATTTTGAACATCATTCTATCATGTTGTCTGCGTTTTTTGTGGTTGGCATCGCTCTAAACATATAAACATTTTAATAAGATATCTAATGTTGCAAGGACGTTCAACTTTGAACAAGACAAAGCGAAATAATATATTTTTTATATATTTCCTGCTTTGGTATGACGACTGATTCATCACGTACGTTTATTGTATAGTGCAAAAGACGGGTGCTTCCTATGATTTGCAAACTGCCAAATCCGGGTATTCTCTTTGCTTAACTAAGAGTAATGTTATTTAGTAAGTAAGGTAATTAGCTTAGTAGGGACAGTGAAGATACAGTGAATACCATTTATCACCCATTATGTAACTTTCTACTGTATATAACAATAAGTTGATGTCAAATATACTTTCCAGGGTTTAATTATCTTGTAAACACGGACCGATGACGTCTACTTAACATTCATGGATTTTTTTCCCTGTTAAAGATAATTAAATTTCAATCTGCCGAGCATGTTTCCTAGTCTGCCAAAGATAAATATATGCCCTTTCGAACTATTTTCATAATTGAACATTAGTCAATACGAATTTCAAATAACGGTTCGTTTAAAATTCGATTGTCGTAAACTTAGACTGAGTCATTGATTTTATTAATGTCTCCAACTAAGCTGGGGTAAGTACAAGTATTAATAGCATATGTATGTGGAAAAAACGTATTGTTGTCAATTGAGAAAAAAATTAATCCAAAATATAAATAAGTTCTCATTTCTTTATGTAGACTTGTCTGAAAAAAAACTTTTATTATATATACGGTTTCACCCACTCCCTTACCCGAATTTATAAAAAGGAAATATTGGTACCTGCATGAGTTCATATATGACTTGCACAAATTGGCAAACTTGGATGTAACGTATATTATAGGGATGGTAGGGTGGAGTTGTGGTAAAGAACTCGCATTTTATCGAGGCACCCGGATTCGGTTACCCGATCGAACGTGAACAGGTATAGGGTGACCGGCCCCTAGATGCTCCAGTTTCCTTCCTTAGTAAGACCCTTCGCACGTTTTAATCCGGGCTTACTAGAATGATTACGTACTATTATAAACTTTGCTTCACAGTGGTTGTAAAATAAAGTTTATATCTCATATAATATTTATAGTTTAAATACAGTATAATAAAGTTGCATTTTTAGATACAGAAACTAGCGTCAACTATGCAATCACTTATAATGTTCGAAGTTTAAACATACTAGCGTCCACTATGCAAACTCTGATATCCCGTTAACAGTATTAAAGGACTAGTATTGAGCAAGCGTTAAGATTTTCGACTTTGGTCAATTTGGATAGCATTCAACTGTAAAGAATATTAATTAATTAAAATAAAAGTTGTGATGTGTAATTGTCACAAAGTAGTCAAGGCAAAGTTTATGTGTGATTGTTTAAGTATCCATTTTGAATGGGAAAAAGAAGGTTATTGTTAAACTCTCATTCATTGTGTATTCGAATAGTGTAAAGAGTGTTTTGTTGTTGACCAAGCACTGTGAAAATACAGTGCAAGTATCCATAGCATACCCCGAAATAAATGCTACGTTTGACAAATGTTCATATATCTGTTCAGATCTAAAAAATAAATACATAAAGATAAGAAGAAGAGGAAGACAACAAATCGAGGAAGGCATTGAAAAAATAGTCCTTGAGAATTCTCTCTGTGCTACATTCTTCCTCAGTTTTTGTAAGAGAATCTTCGAAAATAACTTCTCGATGATGCCTCCATCAGTAACACGCAGGCTGCTGACTATGGGATGTGTTTATTCGTAATTCATTCCAAGCACGTAGTTGACAGTTGTGATGAAGAATAATCGCTGCTACTTGTACCGTTACAACACTTTCAAGTGTTCAACATGAAAACGGCAATAGAAAAGTGGGTAAAACACGGAATTGTCAGGGACTAGGGCGAAGTGAGAACATATGGGCTACAAGGAGAGCAGCGCCACTTGAGTCTCTGGGGTCGAGTTGAAGGCTTTCTGAACATTGTTCACCTGAATATGTCCAGGCTGAGGAATGTGTTATGGGGAGTGATATTTATGTATAGGCAAGATTGCTGCCCTTCACCATATGACGTCGTTTGATAGTCTGCACTGATGTAACATAGGCATGCAGGTACGGTCATTTCTCGCCAAACCTAATATTATGGCGGTACACGATTTACTTGGCGTTAGGCAATTTGACTAAGGGCGTGGGGCGAGGGTCATGGCTAAATATTATGGAGACGAGGGGAAACTATTAACAACAGTAGCTTGTGTAGTTGAAAACGTTGTGTTTTTTCGTTTACAGACGGCAAAAAAGTATATTGGGGCTGCATGAGGTTATATATAAATTATGTGTTTGCTAATGTCATGGTCGTTTTACTACTTCATGAAATTGGATAAGTTATCCAGATGTGTTTCTTCGTCCCAAATTGTTCAGTGTTACTACAAATCTGCTCTAGTTTCCTTTTAGATATCAATTACAGTCTTATTTGGTGGAGTCGATCCACCCAGAAAGTTCCATGGGTCTCCATCACATTTGATTAACCGTCCTTAAATGTCTGTCGCTGTTGATAGGACGTTAAAAAGAAAAAAAAACTAATTTAACCCTTTGATTAAGATGTCTCGTTCTCAATGAGAGTTGATTTACTCAAACTCGACTAAGCGTCCAGGGATTGTCTTGTTCTCTATATGAGCTGATTATTAAACTCACCCATGAGGCCAGATCTTGTTTTGTTTTCAGTATGAACTGATTTAAAACTAACACAAAAGTCCAGATCTTGTCTTTTTTCAGTATGAACTGATTATTAAACTCACCCAAGAGTCAAGACCTTGTCTTGTTTCAAATAAGAACTGATTTAGTAAGAACAAATAGAAAATTTAATTCGACATGAAACAATATAATCATTACTTAAGTACAGTCTAACCTGTATTAAACGGTCACTGTCGGGGAATTATGAGAGTGGCCTTTATAGAGAGAGGTGGCCTCTTAATTGAGGAAAAACGATTGAGAGGGCATGGAAACGGCCGTTATAAGCAGGTGGCCGTCTAACTAAGGTGGCCGTTATGACAGGTTAGACTGTCTTTTCCATTTTATTGATTCTAACTTTGATTGACATGTACATATGTATTCGTTTCCACATTTTTGCTATATGAAAGAATATGTGATATTTATGTTGTGCTTCTTTTGCAAACCTCGAGAGAGAGAATTCGTCATGTTTATTATACACGAAGAGCATCGAATGAAATGAAAACTTGAAAACCCCTAGACATGTCCTTTTCAGTATTATTTGCCAATGTTGCAAATGGAAAATATTTTTCTCTGACTCAATTGTGTCAATTTGATATAATATCAATTATGAATCAAATGTTTTCTAGATATAGACTTAATGTGATGATGCAAACAAAAACATGAAAATGGCGTTTAAATCTCTACTGAGTACATGTTAGTCTCCCACGTGAAAACTTTTCTTCTTTTTTCTTTTTAGTTGATGTTAGTTTGACAATTTTTAAAGAAATATGCGGAATTAACGACAAAACATTGTATAGAATCTAGTTTAGTTTGGATTTACGCTGAGTGCTAGCTTGCAATTGGGTGGCATTGCCTCACCAGATGGGTCATGGTATTACATCTTGCTGTAGGTGTCGTACTGAGGTGGTATCTAAGTTATGTTGGATAATTGTGCATGCTGTCCGTCTAGATGACGGTCCAACTATAATGGAAAGGCAGAAATCTGACGCCACATGATGTACTGTTGTAATGTATATCGAATAGCCATATGGTTATGGGTATGTAATGTCATATTAGCAACGGTATGTTGTATCACATTAGAAATGCCTTCTTTTTTGTGAACTTTTGTGAATGTATTGTACATTACTAGAGCTGATAGATAAGAAATGAGCCTCATACTTAAGGATTGGACTTTTGAATCACTGCTCTTTCAGAGATTTTGTCCATTTTGCAAAAGTCACTTGCCTTGTTTTCTTTAGAATGCTACCTTTTTCGGCATAAACTGAGCAAATGGCACCAGTCTTAGGGTACACAACCTTAAATAGCCAGGGAATAGTAGGGCTGGAAAAGGACATCCCTGCTGAACATCTTCAATACAAGGCTCACAAATGATAACTCAGTCCTCATACAAGCGGATTCTGTATTACTTTACCAGTACAAATGGGTGTGATGGGATTCATTATAATATTCGGAGTTCGTTAAGACTAAGTGTTAGGAAGACTTTTTAAAGTAACACGTGTCTTATCTATGGTTACTTTGTACATGTTAAATACCATAGTGACGTTTGAGAACGACACTTTAATTTACACATGTATAGAATGTAAAAAATTCTTACCTAGAAATATTAAAAATACTGAATTCCGATAATTCTTTCACTTTTAATTGCGAAAATATATTCAAGTGACAATTAAAAATCAAAACAAAGCAGATAAAATAAACCGAAAACCCCACTTATACAAAAACAAAAAAACATGTGCCCATTATTGAAATGAAAATAGAGAAAGGAACATTTCATGGCTTACCATTTAATGTCAAGTCACTTGATTATCACCAGATACTGACGTACCGAAATCGAATAAGTTCATTTACTGCATGCATTACATTCTGTTTTGCAGAGTAAAATAAAACCTGTGTTTTAATCTCTCTACACTTATTTCTTATTCATAATTATTGATTATATTGGAAAATTCCTCCAGTTCATATCGTTTTGTAATTTATCATATAGCGCGACCTCTTGTCGTTAGATGGACTAATATTTAACTGTAAACGTGTACACGAGTTATATGATATGTATGTTAAAATCCTTATTATAATAATGATAATTAAAGAGCAATTACTCGCTTACAAATATAAGGACATCTTTTGATGGTGATATGCTGTTTGTGTTTTACAGATTTGATTTGGAGCTCGATCCAAATCACAAGGTTGAAAAGAAGGAAGCACCAGTGATGAAATCCCAAACTGGAATCAGGATGAAAGCCACGCCGAGACAGCGTGCAGCATAATATTTTGTGTTGATGACATACCTGGTAGTGCTGGTCAGTGGCCGCACACCTTCTAATCACTTGGGAACATGGTAGACACTACTTTTCCGAGAATAGACCGCAAATCAACACTCTAGGAATTAATGCGGTATTTGTAAACAAACATCTTCACGGGGAACACATGTTGTAATGTGTGTGTATGGTGTCCGTGCGAAATATACAAATTGAAGTATACATGTGTTATAATTGACGTTGTCATAACAAATGTCTATGTATATCTAATTATTTCGAAAACAAAATAATGATCTTCCTGGGTATTTTGAATAAAGCGGTACTTCATAGATCCAAGCCAAACGAATATCTATACTTACATCAGTTAATGGTAACTAAAAATTCTAGTCATTTATCATTAATTACACTGTATTCAGCTAAAACTGTCTGTATCTATACATAATTTACTGTATGATGTAATTAGCATTAAGAATTTACTTTAATTTGTATAGAACGTAATTTACGAATACGTTCCTTATTAATTTTTGTTTCTTTTTTGTTTGTAATGTATTCTTGTGTTATCTTGCCTTTCATTTTTAAAGTAAAAAATTCTTTATTTCTCAATCGTATTTTCAGTACTGCTGATAGGTCAGTAAGGTTGTCAATGAATAGATCAGCCAGTTATTGTGAAATCGGGTTTGTATTTTTTTTATTTATATATACTTGTATCTGCTCCCTGATGTAGTGACTCAGAATCAAAATATATAAAAGAATTTCTTATAGACAATCATATTCCGATATTAATCTATTGAAAATATAGTTTATTCCATAGCCTATGTTGGCTGGTTGACATATTCAGGAAGAGAGGCCTTATACTCATTTACATTTAGATAATATGATGAAGACGTTAAACATTTGAATAATTGTAATATTTTCTCTCTTGATATGTAATAAATTTATATATCCTCAAACCGTTTCTTGAATTCTTTTTTAACAAAGAAAATAAAGAAAAATACTGATTATCTTAAATGGGAAACTATAAGATGTTTGAATGGTCACATGTCCAAACTTTGTCAGACGTGGCATTACGTATGTATTGTTGATTACTACATATAAAAGGAAATCTGTTCTAGCAATTTTACAAGGCGACATACTTCTGCTGTGCAAATGCTTTATAGGAATAATATTTTATTTCATAAAAAAAATCCCTTTTAATATCTTTACGTTTTTATACACGTTGATGGTTGCTGTTGTGAATATATTATTAAAATATGCACGAAGAATCACGTTTTAAAGTCCATACTACAAATTTACTGCAATTTCGTTGGAAGATGTGACATATTTTTTTGCATTCTTAAAAGTATGCTTCACAGGGTTGGAATGTCGCATTCTATATTTCATTTACACAGTTTCTTTTATAAATGCTACTGTATGGTAAATTTGAGGAGTTATTCTTCGAAACTTTCATATAGATTGAATTGAAGTCGGGGACAAATCTAGTTAACTGTTGCATGTTCTCCGTTTCATTACGGAGTGTAAAGTTATGGAAAACACCTTTTCACTAGCTTCACAAGCCAAAACGTCGATAAGGCTTTTTCGTTTTTGTTTTTTTCTTTAGCGTCTTCCCACCATAATTTTATTTCTGAGTAAGCCGAACGCATAATTGTAGATCGTCACATCAGTTTAGGAAATAATCAAAATCAAATATGAAGGTATTTAAAAACATACTGCATGAATGTTGATATATTTCAGATTTGACAATTTAAGTAGTTGCGATGTCATATTATTACAGAAAAGTCTTTTTCGGTTTTAATGAGGTTATTTTTTTAAATGTATGTTGATTATCTCTTAACTCTTCTCTTAACTGCTGGGGGTCGTCACATTGTGTGCACTGGATTAACGACTTTGAGACTCTCGGGTTGTTTATTGTTATAATTACACACATCTGGTCAGGTTATCTAAAGCACAAGCTATCACAGGCATTATTACAATACATTACTTTACATTAACTTAGACTTGTTTTAGTGAGAGTTGCAACCAAAATGTGATTATGCATGTCATAAAATCAGATAGTGTCCTAGCGTTATTAAAGCTTCCAGAAATTTATCGCCCATTAAAACAAGATAAATGACAATTTGCATCATGAACGATATCAGAACGGTCATACCCTATAGCCGGCTAATAATACGGAAATTATCTTCGTATGAAAAGATAGTTTTAGGTAATTCCTATCAATTTGCTCAAAGTTAGACGATAGTGTTCGCCGTGCGTCCCATGGGGAACAATTACAACACGAACTTGTCGACGGTTGTAATGTGGATGTGTAAGCGGCAGTTAAGAAGAAATAACGTGTTCTCGCTCATGTTTTACACACACTTACATATACTAGCCGTCAGATTGTATTAAAGGATAAAGGATATATAATGTACACACGTTCTGTAGTCAGATTTTAGGGCATTTTGATCGCCCCACGGATGTAGGGGATAAGAGAGGCACGGGTAAGCAACCCTATGTAAACTCTGTATTGCCACCTTGGTATATAGTTTTTGAAGTTGTCTGAACCAATCTTTGGTGGCGTTAGACACAAATGTTTTTGACGAGCACATGTTGTGCCCGTGAATTACCTGTCCTTTCACACTTAAGTTGAGTTTGATCAGAACCATATTTATTTGTAGTATAAAGCTCATTGAAGTCGTATCTACTATCGGCACCTACTTGGAGTAGACTGCGGTAGACTTGCACAGGTTTTTTCTATACCAGTCACATTAAACAAGTAATATAACTCAACACAGGAAGACTCAGCAACATGTATAGGGGGCATGAAAAGAACCTGATTTGTAGGTCTATGTATGACGAAGAACCAAAACACTTACAAAATGTTTCAATAAAGCCGCTTGGTTTAATATACATATCTTACGTACATAGCATTGTATTGATAAGTTTTATATCTACATTTGCTTACGATTTGCACTTGTTTATATTTATTTTGTTGCGCTGACGTCACAATTGTTTTGATGTTACAAATTGGATCCTAGTATATCTTGATAGCGCAACTTCAAAAGCCCTGTTTTTTTTGTTTTTTTTTTTTGGGGGGGGGGAGGGGAGGGGGGTCTTTTTTTATGATATATTATTCGTTCTAGACTTCTTCAATTTTAACAAACTGTACATTGCCAATATTAACTTATGAACGTTTATATATCTCTGGGACTTTTTTGTGCAACATTTGGATCTATAAAATTAATTGCCTATGGATTTAACTTAAATTCAAGCATTTCTTTGCTGATTACTTTGGTGTGTAAATTGCAGCTTGAATTCTCAATAATCAGTTACATCCTTAGGTTATTGCTACCGCTGGTATGTTGTATGTTTTGAAAGTCATACGATCGTCATCCATTTACATTGTTACAGACATACATCTGTATTTCTATGTAAGATGAGTTCGTTCTGCCCCGGTCTTTACGCGGATGTTGCGGTTAGGTCGCACTACCCACATCTTTGTAAAAAAAAAATAAAAATGTCATTGTTGGAACAATGGATATGTAGACCGTATTATCTCGTCAAACTTCAAAGGCTTGTACGAAATACCTTAGTTACATACCGAGACGGGGAGAGGATTTATTTCCTCAACATGAATTGTAGCTTTCTGTCACGTTGTATAAACATAACCGCATAAATTTCGTAACATTGATGTATATTTTCAGATCTTATGTAAAATATATTAGGAAAAAAGAATATTTTCTTTCAAAGAAAGGGTTATCTCCCTTCCGCTGTAAATTATAACTAAAACGAGAATTGAAATTCAAAACTAGGATGAGAATTAAATATATTATTAAATTAGTTGTTAACTAAATATGTGTTAAAATGTGTGGCCCGAGCAGAGAGATGCTGTACACGTGCAGGTACAGGCCAGTATGGGTGGCCTAGCCGGATGACGTACAATGATCACTCATGACGGTACGCCACAGGGGTGTAATTTGTGGTGTAAGCCCATGCTATCTCTTCTCCCGTATTCATTTACACACAAAAAATGTCTATACACACAAAGTTTAGGTCTAGGTGGCTTTCTTTCATGACATGACATCCGAATTTAAAAACTATAAAACAAAATAAAAATCCTCTATTTTTTCTTAGTTGTATTAGAAGGTTTGGTTTGTATTTCTTGGCACGTCGCAACACAGGGAAATATGTAAAATAGATGCATAAGAAACCTGTTGTCATCAAAATTCCTCCGATATACGGTGAGAAATGATAACACAGACTTCGTGGATAACCATTTGTGTGGCTGTAACTTGAAACCAGCAGCATTGAATTTATTTTTTGATTTATTAACGTAAATATTTACCGCAAGCTATGAACAGATTTGATGTCGAAAGTTATCATTTCTGTAGTATCCACTTCATTGTTAATGTGTTGATATTAAATGATGATTTAAATTCGAGAAGTTGAAGCAGTTAAGTGTTATAGAAATAATGATCGACGTGTTATTTGTTCTCCTATCATAACATAACGATTTTCAAGTTTTGTAAGGGAGGCATACAACAGGAGAGAGAGAGAGAGAGAGAGAGAGAGAGAGAGAGAGAGAGAGAGAGAGAGAGAGAGAGAGAGAGAGAGTAAAATATAAATAAACGCATGAACTCATGATGTGGAAAAAAGTTGTCTCATCGAAAACAACCGCTATGCGAATCTAACCTGAAAATGTCACATATTTATGTTCAAGAGAGAACAAGAAAATTGACAGCGGAACTGCAAGCCTCCCCTACGTAAGTTATACTATAAATGCACACGTTTCAATGCAGATTACTGGTGTTTACACAGAAAGGGTGAATCGACACTTAAGTAAGACGTTGTCGTTCCAGATGAAAGGACCTGTATTCTATTATCTACCCTCTAAATCTTACAACTGGACTTAATTGTTAGATCAGTAATCAGAGGGATTAACGTTCGTGAAATGCTCCAGAGATTCTCAAAATCGCTTTATTTTACACTGCGATGAAATCTAGTGATCTTTACTTCTACCACCCATGAAATCATAACAAACGACGTATTTCAAAATTCATTCTAGAAATTTTTTTTTTATTTTATGGGAATTACATTTACTTAAAAATGTTTCTAAGCGATATACGAGTATCCTTCTGACACGGAAGTCTAATTCTCCTCACATAGTCCCTAAAACCATTTATTTTATGCATATTTTGTCCACTTTCACTCGATTTCGTGTTAAAATTTTGAATGGATGTTTTATATTGTGTACACCTTATTCGTTACATATTTGAAAATGTTACAATTGAAATACATCTTTGAATGTAACAAGTTCACTTTCATTCATGTATTGAATAAGATATGTTTCTAGATTAGAGAGTCGTCAGCTATGTTTTTTAGAGTTAATTTACGGCGGTTACTCCATCTGCATACCACATCAGCATTCGTATGAACAATTGCACTGGCGCAGAACATGATTTCATTGAACATAAAAAAACTAAATATTTATAAAAATAAATGGATGACTGTACACCCTTGCTTGCAATCGCAAATGGTTTGCATATCCTAACATCTTACCTAGTTAACAATACGTTTGGCCTTTAGCATCACTGATGAGTTAGAAGTAGGTCAATTCCTTATTTGGCTATGCTGTATATATAAGTAACTGTGTGTTGAAAGGTGATAATCCGATGTGTTTATCGTGTACATTTCTTTAAAATCATAGGTCACTGGGTTCAAATAACATTAATGCTGATGTTTCAAATATATAAGTCAATTTTCACCTCTATTGTACAAATTACAGGTCGTCGTTACTTATACAAAGAGGAAGGAAATGCTATGCATCCGTATTAACCTTCATTGAATTTAGCTTCATGTTTGAACACATAATACTGTCGTAACACACACATTTAGATATACTGATATACTATTTATATGTAATAAATCATATGAAGAAAAAAATTAATCTTACATTGTTGTATC